CTCCTCCTCCTCCTCCTCCTGCTCCTCCTCTCCCCTCCACCTCCTCGCTCTTCCCTCTTCACAATTACTCAATATGAATACTACTCTCCCTCTCCCCCTGAAGTCGGCCTCAAAATATTCTATACCCCCCGCGTACTGTTTTTTACACACAGGATTCCCGGGAGTTGGGTTTTCGCATGCGTTTTTAAAAAATGCTGCTCTCGCTGAGGCGCTGGCCTCATTTCTGCTCCCGAATCGTTCCGAATCGTGCTCCCGCTGCAGCGTGGGCCTCATTTTCGGATCGGTGTTTTGCCTCCGTCGTTCAGGATGGCGTTCTCGCCCCAGCGCGAGCCTCTTTCTCGCGCGCCCATCCGCCCGCCACCACCGCGCCGCACCACGCCCCGCCCCGCCGCACGCACACCCACCGCCACTTCCACCCACCAACGCACACACGCACGCACGCGCACCACCACCGCGCAACGCCACCACCACCGCGCTACCCCACCCACCACCACCACGCTACACCGCATCACACCACATCACACGCGCGCACACACAGACGCACGCACGCACGCACGCACGCACGCACGCACGCACGCACGCACGCACGCACACACACAGACACACACACACACACACACACACACACACATACACACACATATACACACGCACACACACACACACGCACACACACACACACACGCACGCACACACACACACACACCACCGCCACCACCACCATCACCGCCATCACGCACGTACGCACCTGGCCCACCACCAAACCACCAAGACGCCACAACACGTCACACCACAGCACATGCGCACACACGCACACACACATACACACCACCACCACAACAACCACAACCACGCACACACGCACGCACGCACGCGCACCACCACCCACTACGCACACGCGCGCGGAGCCACAGGTCCGCTACGACACGCGTCCGCGGATAGAGAAAATCAGCGCCATGGTAAGGGATGGGAGGGAGGGGTAGGATGTCAGATGTTGACGCGAGCGCACCTAGCTTGAGGTTCACATCGAGTCCGCCAGCGACTTGCAGCACTGGAAGGGCCAGGCACGCAAGTCGCATCTCAAGTTGATAGACAATCCAGCTCGTGGGACGGGCCGCGAGCAATCGGAGGCCACCAAGGACAGGGCCAACGAGGGCGGCGAGTGGATCCTTGGGAGGCAGCATTTACAGTTCCACAGGGTCCATGACACCGACTCTGTGTGCCGCGACCCCAAGGCCGAGGGCAGCGCCGCCCTGGACGGGTTCACGGTGGCGATCCTCAACCAGCAAGGGTATTCCATCGTGCTGATCGCCTTCTACGGCTACTGCTCCGAGGGCCTCCACGGCAGGAGCTTGGTGCGTTTCGCCAAGCTGGGGGCCCTCGTCTCTCAGCTGAAGCTGTCGTGGATTTGCATAGGCGACTTCAACCTCCCACCGTCCGTCCTGGCCGACGCTGGGTTTTTGGATCGTGTGGGTGCCAATGTCCTCACCGCTGCCGACACGGAGTACACCTGCGTGGGCGGCATGGGCAAGGGCAGCACGCTGGACTATGTCGTGGCCAGTTATTCGGCGTTGCCGTATATCGTGGGTCTGAGTGCAGTTTTGTCAGTGCCTTGGCGACCGCATTGCGGGCTTCAACTTCGGCTGAGAAGTTCGGGGTCTCAACTGTTGTGTCGGCAGCTGGTGCTTGCAGCTCAACTCCCACAAGTACTTCGACCTACCACCCAGCCGCAAGAGGGTTCCAAGTCGTCCGTGGCCCGAGGGGAGCGCGTCCTGGCACGACGGGCGGCCCAGGACAGGATGGCGACGGCGACGGATGAGATGTTCGGAGACCTCTGCTCTGCTGGAGGTGCGACGGCGTCTACATCAGCGACGGCTTCTTCATCTGAGGGCGAGCCTAGTGCGCAGGCCAATTCTCTTGCCTCCGACTGGCCTGAGTCGGACGGTGAGGGCGACTACGTGCCCCCAGGTTTCTTTGGACCCGAGGCTGGCAGCCCAGCGGCTGCCTTGCCTCCAGCCTCGCCCAGGCCCGAAGAGGCCGAGGTCGCGGCTCCGTCTCACGGCATATCGAGTGTGCTTATCGCACCCCACGAGTCTCGGGACCCACCCAGTTGTTCTGCCTCCCCCGAGGTCCCCTCGAGCACCCATGGCGGTGCCCTGCCTGCCTTTTTCCTCCCCTCTGACCTCTGGGACTCCTGCAGGGCACAAGTGGGCTACACGGACTCCGCTGGCACCTCGGATGTTCTTCTTGTCATTGCCAACTCTGCGGCGTTTGCGGTTGGGGGACCGCATATTCTACGTCTGGGAGCTCTGTATGGATCTTGGGCCAAAGCTTTGGAGCGTACCGTCTGTATTCACCATGGGACGAATCTAGCGGGGCCTTCCAGGGACTCAGGGCCTAAGTACACCGTCACCGAGGTTAAAGCTCCATCTAAAGTTCGGGAACAGCCTCTTCATGATCAGGTGTCGTCTTGGTGGGGCAGGGTCACCACAGTACTGACCAAGCTCAGCTTGCATCGTTCTCGTGGCAACGGACCCATACAGCAGCAGCAGCTCGTGGAAGCGTGTGCGGCCTTGGCAGGGGACCAGCCAGACAGCGTACACGTGCCTCTCGCTTCGTTTGCCGACCCGACCGTGGCCTCGTGGAGCGAGTGACAAGCTCGGCTACTAACGGTCGCCGACATGCCTGATGCCAGCCTGCACGAGATGGCTGTCACGGCCAAGCGCATCACAGGTCGAGCTCGTCGACGGGCTTTGGGGGCGTCTCTTAAGGGGCTTAGTGCTTGGATTTCGACCTCGGAGGCTCCTGGGATCCTCCACAAGGCTCTTAAAAAGACCCCCCCTGTCCCCGATGAGCTCGTAGTCGACGGCCAGGTTATGTATCATCCCCTGGACATCGTTGATAACAAAGCCAGTACGTGGAAACAGCTCTGGGGCCCAAGGGAACCCGATCTACACGATGTCCAGGAAGTATTCCACGAAATTCGCGAAGTTGCTCGGCACGAACGCCTCGAGCCACTTTCCCACGACAGAGTCCGTCAAGCGCTACATTCCATGCGAGCTAAGACAGGACTCGGGGTTGACAAACTCACCCCGTTAGATATGGAGCGTTTGCCTTTTGCTGGAGTTTCGGAGCCCGCTGGGCTTTACAATGCCTGCGAGGAATGCCTCTCCTGGCCCTGGCAGGTTCTCCTGGCCGTGGGGAAGCTTTTGGGGAAAACAACGGGTTCTGACCGCGTTATTGGTCTCATGTCTATGTTTACCAGGACTTGGCCCCGTGCTCGGGAGGACGACGTCCGTTCTTGGTCTCAGGACTCCGAGCCTGCGCGGGACGCCGCAGTGGCGGGGAACTCGGCGCTCCGCGAGGCCTTCGTCCGCGCTTTGAAGGACGAGGCCATGCACAACTTGGGGATCGCTTTCGGGGAGGGCCTCGTAGACATCAAGGGGTTCTACGATGAGATGCAGTGGGGTCCTCTGGCTCGGGCCGCTCTCAGGCTTGGAACTACAGATGTGTGCTGCACCTCGTACGGTCTCTCAGTTGGGGTCCTACTCCGAGGCCTTCCAGGTCGTCCAGAGCATCATTCAGGGGCTCAGGTCTGGGACGCGTTTCGGGCGATGTATGATCTATTTCATCATGAGTAAGATTACAGTGGCACATCCGTCTATGTCTGTTCGTGTTTGGGTTGACGATATTAATGAGCATGTCGCTGGCTCTCGGAAAGCAGTTCGAGAGAAGTTATATCAAGGCGTGCTCGACACGTGTCGGTCCCTTGTGGCGCACGGCTTGCCTGTGTCACCCAAGAGCGTCATCATGTGCACCAGCGCCTCTGACAGCAAAAGTGTTGTCCAACGCCTTCGGCGTCGGGGTTTTCATCTGCAACATGCTCTTCAAACCACTCTCCTCGGGGCTGATCTTGGGGCTGGTCGCGTAGCACGGGCCTCTCGGACCAAACGGGTGGCTAAGGCGAAGGGCATGAATTTTAGGATCTGTAAGTTCGGTCGGGCTTCCAGGAAGTATCTCAGGGCTGGATTGCTTGAACGTGTCGGGGCACAAGCTGCAGGCAGCTACGGGCACCAGATTGTGGGGGCTTTCGGTACCTTTCGGCAGCAGTGCAGACGTCGCCTCGGTCACACGCTTTCTTCGGCCACGCGCGGTCGGCGTTTAACTGCGGTTCTCGATCTGCGGGCCGACGGACATGATCCTGGGCACAAACTTCCGAGGGGATGTTTTCAGTTATGGTTGCGCACTTGGTTCCAGGATCCGTCGCTCCGACCCGCAGTTCGCGCGGCTTGGCCGCGTGTAGTTGCTCAGTTTCGGCAGATGGAGCCTCGGCAGGTTTCACAAGCAGTGCGGGGGGCCCATCTCCGCCATGGTCGCATATCTTCTTGAGTTCGGATGGGATCCAGTATCACCGAGCGAGTGGCACACACCAGCTAGCGATGACGATCCTGGAGCGATTTGGACGTTCCCCGATGAGGTCGTTTCTTGGTCGGAGGATTTCAGTGGGTTGGTGTCCGAGTTCGAGAAAACGGTCCGTCTCAAGCTTTGGAAGTCAGCGGCGTCACATTTTTGCGGGGAAGGGGTCCAGCACGGGGTGGATAACCATTCTCTTCGGCAAGTTCTAGCAGCGCTCTCGTCTGTACCGCACGGCACTCAGCTATGTGAGACCATGTTCGCTATTGCAGTGGGAGGGACATGGCCAAAGGGACGGGTTGCGGATGAGACGAATGCGCAGTGCGATGGCCTCTGTCCTCGGTGTTTGGAGAGCAAGGAGACACCTCTTCACCGAGGCTGGCTGTGCAGTTTTAACAAGGATCATGCAGTGTATTCTTCCTCTGCTCATCTTGTTCCGCGTGCTGTTGCTGAGCACGACGCAGCAGCATGTTTCTGGTCGCGGGGCCTCATCCCTGCGCGGTGGACCTCAGTGGAGCCTCCGCCAGACAGCGAGCAGTGGCACATGTACCATGCTCGGCATGACAATTTCCCAGCTGCTGGAGGGCTCGGCATTGGCACCCCTGAGGAGCCCATCATTGTCTTCGGGGACGGCAGCGGGGGTGAAGATAGTCGTGATTCTCGACTTCGGCGTGTCGGCGTCTCGGCTGTCTCTCTCAGCGACTACGGCGACCCCACGGTTGCAGCGTGTATCTTTGGAGGACTTCCTGGAGGCTCTCAGACTGTCCCTCGGGGGGAGCTCTGGGGCCTCTTACTGGCGATCAGGCACACCTTGGGGTCCCTGGTTTACGTGTCCGACAATGGCGGGGTCGTCAATGGGTGGTTTCAGAAGATGTATTCAGCCCCTTCGGGGCCCAACGCTAGCATTTGGAAGCTCATCGGCTTAGCTCTCGAAGGGCGTGATATATCACAGGTTACCGTTTTACAGGTTCCTTCTCACCTCGAGGCTGAGCAGCATGTTGATTCCAAGTTGCCGATGTGGATGTTCATCGGGAACCAAGTCGCTGACACTCTTGCTGGAGTTGCTGCCAGTATGGTGCGTGTCAGTCAGCCTACCAGGACAAGAATTGGGAAGATCGAGTTGGAAGCAGGGCTCGTCCGAAAAAGGTTGCTTCGATCCACTCTCGAGGCCATGGCCGCGTCCCCGTCCGCTCCTCGCGCCCGTGATCAGACCAAGGCACCCAGACCGCCAGCGCCCAGCGTCGTGTCCGTGTTCGAGTCCGAGCACACTTTGTCCGAGAGTGGCCGTGCGTGCCTTGTATGTCGGAGCTCGGCTTCGGCAGCGGCAGCCACGGCGTGGCGCAGGAGTCAGTGCTATAACCTGCAGTCTGTCGACTCCGCCCTTTTCCAGGTGCCGAGGGGACAGTCGGTACATATCGGGGGGGGGCTGGGTTCACGAGACTCACAAAATGGTTTATCAAGCCAAGAATAATGTGTGGATTTGTAGTTCCTGTGGGTGTTTCGGCGTCGAGCAGCTTCGGGCCTCCTTGGCCCAGCCTTGCCTCGGCACCCTCACCCCCACTGGGGCGGCTTATCTCCGCAGAGTGGAGGACGGGCAATGTCCCAAGTACCCCTCCAAGCGTGCGAAAGGCTCCTGAGGAGTTCTTTCCTTTTCTTTCATACGCACCGCGTTAGAGCCATATCCATATCCATATCCTCCTCCTCCTCCTCCTCCTCCTTCTCCTCCTCCTCCTCCTCCTCCTCCTCCCCCTCGCGGTCCTGCTCGCGCTGCTCCCCCCCCCCGCTGCGGAGGGGGGCGAGGGAGGCCGAGAGCACCGTCCCTCTCGGGCCTTCCCCTGCGGCCTCCCGCCGCCCCGGGGCGCTGCCGCTCTTGCAAGCTTGCCGCGCGGTGGGTAGATCGCTCAAGCAGCGGCAGAGCGTCTTGGCGTGCCTACACGCCTACCAAGCAACGTTCCCTGAGACCCTGGCGGCTCCATGTTTCTCGAGCCGGGCGCGTTCGTCCTTTCCCGGGTCCCGGGGCCCTCACAGATCGGATGCGGCTCGAAGAATGGCGCAGAAGGATGGGGCCCAGGGCTCCGGGCGCGGATTTTCACGATGTTGCAATGTGTGCGGTACGTCGGATCTCAGGGTTCTAAGAACCTTTGATTGAAATGTTCTTCGAACATTTCTGGCTGGGTACTGTCTTGTTTTGTCACATCGGGTTTATGTTCTAAGAACACTGTTCTTGTTCTCAGAACAGTTTTGGGTTCTGGGAACGTTTCGTGGTAGGCCTATAGGAATGCCGGGACGGTCGGTCCCTGCTCAAATCGTGGGCCCGCCGCGCTGCGGGGGGAACGTTCGGGTGGGAGTACGAGAAAATCCCAGACATGATCGCGTCGTCAAAAGAATCGGGACGGCAAGCTTTTCCCTATTTTCGGCCCTTGCAAGGGGCCCTCGCCGGGCCCCGGGACCACCGCAAAATGACTCCGGATGAAAAGCCGGCCCCGGGGAGAGGGTCGGGACTTCTGGGGGTCGACGTCACGAAAGAGTCAGGGCGTCGCATGTCTCGGGGAACGTCCGGGGGGTGGATACCGGGGAGCCGATTCGCGCCTCTCGCAGCCGATTCGCTGACCCGCCCTTCCTGGGATCCGGCAGCGCGAGACATCGGGAGAGTCACGGCCGGAGCCCCAGACCGCCTTCCCATGGGCCATGGGGGATGCAGCGGATCGGGGGTGGACAGACCTCCTACCCTGACACGTCGATTAGTGGATCGGCCGTTTTCGGTTCGCGGGAGGGTGTCGCGGCCGTCATTTTTGCGGGTCCAGGTCCCTCGGTTTCGGCCCCATGCCGTTTTTTTGTTAAGGAGGTTTACTAAAGGGAGGTTTGTCCATCGAGCGGAGACCCATGCTAAGAAACACCCTGCTCGCCTCCGGGGGCCCTTACCGGGCCCTGCGAGCGTCAAAAACCGAGTCGAGGTGAAAAGCCGGTACCGGGGAAGGGGTCCAGACCTCTTGAGGTCGACGTTGCGAAAAAAGTCACGACGTCGGGGTTTTGGGAGCCCATACCAAGAAACACCCTGCTCGCCTCCAGCGTGCCCTGGGTTTCTTGTGGTTTGGTGGTTTTGCTGTGGAGAGCGTGATGTTCCCACACCGAAAAGCAATGGACGCCCTGGGTTATCAGGGCTGGGTTCCTTCTGGAAGGTCTCTTGTGGTCGGGCCCCCTGCTGTGAGGGTTCGGACGTTTTCGTCGGTTCTCGGCGGCGTTGCGGTCTGGGTGATGGGCTTGTTTTCCGCCACCACCACCACTACCATAAGTTGGAGGAGGAGGAGGAGGACGAAGAGGAGGAGGAGGAGGAGGAGGTGGAGGAGGAGGAGGAGGACCCCCTCCCCCTCCAACTTATGGTGGTGGTGGGGCCTTCCAGCGGCTGCGCTTTGCCGAGAACGTTCTGGGGGTGCCTGGGTCGTCCGAACGGCCGCCGGAGGCCCGAGCTGTGATCCTCCTCCTCCTCCTCTCCTCTCCTCCTCCTCCTTCCTCCTCCTCAGCTCCGCCTCCCACTCCCTCATCTTCCTCCCACTCCTCTCCCCCCCCTCCTCCTCCTCCTCCTCCTCCTCCTCCTCCTCCTCCTCCTCCTCCTCGGCCTACCTCTATCATTCGGAGGGGTTGTCCGACAGAAACTTGGAGCTGCTCTCGGATCTTGGGCTGTGCCTTTCCTCGGCTGCGAGACGCTGGATTCTTGGTGCGGATTTCAACATGGAGCCCTCTGAGTTGGGAGGATCGCGTTTTGTCCAGCAGCTCAGGGGGGCTCTGATCTCTCCCAAGGTGCCCACTCACCACCCTGCGGGGCCTCCCACCACCTTCGACTACTTTGTCGTCTCGGGCGGTCTCAGTAAGGGCATCGAGAGGATCGATACGCGCTTGGACACGGAGCTCTCCCCCCATGTGCCTGTCGACCTCAAGTTTTTCGGTTTGTTGGCTGTGCTGGAAGCTCTTTCGTTCAGGCGCCCACCGCCCTTGCCAGCCGAGGCGGTGGTCGGCCCCTCGCCTAGACCTCCCGAGTGGTCTGGGGTCCGGTTTCTGGCCGACTCGGCCCTGGGTTTGCTCGACATTGGTCGCCCCAAAGGAGCTGCTTCCCTTATGGGCTCTCCGTACCAAAGGTGGGCCGACACGGCCGAAAGGGAGTTCATTCCGCTGGTTGGGTCATCGCCCGTCAAGCTCGGCACTCGTGGGTTGGGCCCTCAGTTGGTCTGGCGCTCGGTTTTAGCTAAGGACTCCCAGGTCAGATGCCCAACGCACAGATCCATTGCTTGGCTTGGGCAGCAGCTCAGGGCGTACATCCATGTTTTACGTGCAGGTGCGTCGAGCACTGCCTCCTGTTGGAAGGATATGTTGCTTCAGCCTCCGCTTGCGATCACCAGCGCCAAGGCTGACTACACGCCCCTGTTCGATCTGGTGGCGACGTCGGTCGCGACCTTGGCTGCTCCCGACGCGTTTGCTGATGTTTACTCTCAGGTGCACGAGGCCGTCGAGGCCGCCGACAGCAAATTCCTCGCCCAGAGCCGTGCCGACTGGAAGGCATGGCTCAATGTCGGAGTGCAGTCTGGTGCGAAGCGTGTTCACATGATGTTTCGAGACCCGACCCCTAGGGTGGCCAGCGGTACTCTTTCGGCCGAGGCAGGTGTGGTTTCGGATCCGCTTTCGCCTCTGAAGGCGGAGGGCCTGCGGTTCTCGAAGTTTTGGGGTCCTGGGTTGGGGGCCCAGTCTCGTTTTGAGCGTCTCGAACCCCTCCCCAGGATTGAAGCTGAAACTATTCGTGAAATCTCTCGGTTTTACAAATGTGCGTCGGCCGTATTGGTGGACGGATTTCACTGCAGACGCTTCTCGTTGCTGTCCGACGTGAGCCTCACCTGTCTCAGCAGCATACTTTGTCTGATCGAGGTTCTTGGCATTCTCCCGCCCCAGATTTCGGTTGTGCTGCTCGCGCTGCTGCCGAAGCCGACTGGCGGCTACAGGCCCATAGGGGTGTTTTGTTCTTGGTTCAGGGTCTGGTCTGGGGGAGTTGCAGGCGTCCGCTCGCCCTGGACTGGGAGCTCACGCACCCCCGTGGGTACGGGGCTGCTGGCCAGCATCGGGGAGCGGCTGGCGTCGTTTGGAGACAAGCGGTGACGGCCGAAAGTGGAGTTGCCAGGGGTCAGGCCAGCTGCTGCTTTTTTCCCGATTTGTCTAAGTTCTATGAGAACATCAACCTGGACAAGTTAGAAGATCGTTGTCGGAGGCACGGGTTTCCTATGATCATCGCCAGATTGTGCTTGTATGCGTACAGAGTCGGTAGATTCCTCAGTCTCGGCGGTTGGGTCGAGGGCCCTTACTTCTGCGTGAACGTGGTCATCGCGGGATGTTCGATGGCCACCATTCTTATCCGCGTCTACTGTCTTGACGGTTACGATGGCATCCCTCTTGCTCCCTCCGCCTCCCTGGGCGTGTACATTGACGACCGGGGCTTGTCCTCCACGGGCCGCCTTGGGGCTGTCGTGGAAGCTGCGGTGGCCGGAGCCGTAGCGTTGGATGGTGTCGTGATGGATGTGTTCAATTGTTCGTTTGTTGCTAGCTCTGAATCCGTCTGCGCCCAGGTCCTGGAACGGCTCGGCCACCTCTGCCGCCGCTGCGCTGGTTCCGCGGTCAACCTAGGCGTTGACTACGCGGCTGGTCGAGCCATCAGGGCCAGCGGCCAGGCGGCCAAGATGAAGGCTAGGATCGCCAAGTCAGCGCGGGCAGCACGGCGCTTAGCGCGGCAGGGTATGGCGCTTAGTAGGGCTTCTTCCCTCAAGGTCTTCCCGGCGGGGCCCTTCGTGGGGGCCTCCTATTGGTCCGAAGTCACGGGCATTAGTGATCACGACCTCAGCCTGCTGCACCGCCGTGTTTTTGTTCCTGTCGTTCGCCCTCGCAGCCAGCTGAGGTCTCTCACAGTCAGCGCCATCCTGGACTACGATCCGACGTGGCGAGCTGCCACGGCCCCGATTCTCAGGTGGAGCCAGGAGGTGTGGCTTTGTCAGACCTCAGCCTTCAGCTGGTCTCTTTCTTCGCCTGTGCTCAGGCGTGCGTGGCGTGTCATTTGTTCTTGTGCGTCTTGCAGCTGGAGGCGAGTTGCGGGCTCCATCTCTGCCGTGCGGACGTCTCTGGCGCGGCTCGGGTGGCGCGCGGGAAACTTCTTGACCCTGGTGGATGATTTCGGGAGATCCATTCCCTTGGGGATCTTCTCCCCCATCGCTCGTCGGGCCCCTGGTCCGAGAAGGGTATTTCCGCACGTTAGTGAGAGAGACGCGGCGGCTGCTCGCGGCATCCAGTCACGTCTCTGTTACGACGTGGCGCGGGAACGCCTGTCTCTTCGCAGCAAGAAATCCACGCCCTTCCAGAAGGCCAGGATTCGAGCATTCTCCACGGAAGCTTTCCTCACGGCTGCCAGGGCCGAGTCTCCTTGTTATCTCATCAAGCCTGTCTGTTTCCACTGCGGGGTCCGAGACGCCATCTTCCACCGTCTGTGGGATTGCCCCCCCCCCCCCCCGCGGCTGAGGATAGGGCCAGACTTATCGAACCCGATACCATCGGAGCTGCGCGCTCAGCTAATGCCACGGGCGAGCCCGAGGACAGCTTTGTTTTCATCTCTGGCCCCTTCCGGCACCCCGCCGACCTTCGCCCTCGGACGTTGACTGAGCAGGATGATGGTCCGATGTCGACGTGGCACAAGTAATTACCCTAAGGAAGGCCCTGATGCGACCCCTGTTGAGAATCGCGCCTGGAGAGACATCTTCGTCGATGGCTCATGGTTTCGCCACGCAGTGCGCGACATCTCTCGAGCGGGCAGCGCTGTTTGTAGGTGGACGATGCTGGTGGCTTAGTTGCCGAGCTTCGCGCACCAGTCTGGGGCCCATGCCCGCAGACGGCCCAGAGCGCCGAATTCAGCGCCTTCACTTGGGCCAATGCGTTGACCACGCGCCCCGCAGACTGCCACTTTTTCTCGGACTGCAGCAACGTTGTACAGTCGGCGGCCAAAGGCAAGTCGGTTCAGTTATCTCCCAAGGGGATGTACCCTGGAGCCTTCCCCCAGTGTTGCGGTCAGGTCGGAGGGATCGGCCCTTGCTCGAAGGTGCCCGCCCATCTCGACGTCGACGCTCCAGGCATCTCGCCCCGAGAGCGCAGGTGCAGGATCGGAAATCACCATGCTGATGTTGCAGGCAAGCAAGCAGTCTCGTTGCACCCGCGTGACGAAGGCCTCCTACGGGACGCTGACAGGATGGTGTCTTACGCTGGGGTTAGTCTGAAGCTGGCTGCGCACGTTCTAGTCCACTGGCCCCCTTTGGATCTGCCTGGAGTCGGCAGGGCCCCTGATCCCCCGTCGCAAAGGAAGCTTACATCTGGTTACGTTTGGGAATCCTGGAGCGGAATTTGGAGGTGCGCTCACTGTTTGCGCGGTTGCAGTCGTTCTCGAAGCCACCCCCAGGGTCTTGCTCCAGGAAGTCTTTGGTCCATGCGGACCATCAAGATGCCCTCGGGCACCGCGCCGTCGCATTTCCGTGCGCTGACCATTCAGTTCTCTTTATTTGTCTCAGGTGCAAATGCCACACCAGCGGGGATCAAATTCGTGGCCTGGCCCAGGAGTGCGTCGCCCCCACCCGCGTTGGCAAGTATGGCTGGGACAATGTGTGTGCAGGAATGCACCCCCAGCACAAGCAGAGGAAAGCTGGTGTCAGAGTTGACACAGAAGGGCTGGTCCAATGTTTCAACTCGGCGTCTGGGAGCGCCTTGCTCATCGCTGGCTAAGTCGAGGCTGCAGGCGCTTCCGACCCAGCCGCTGCCACCTCGCGCTCTGGGCCATCCGCTGCAGCGGAGGGTTCTGGTGGCTCTGTTCCCAGACTAGCTCCGCAGCCCCGTGCCCTCGCCTCTGGTCCATCACCTGACGTTGGTGACGGACTCGTGGGTGACGCTGCGGGCTGCGGCCTCTACTACGACTTTGCAGCAGGCAGCCCTGTTTCTCGCTGGTGGCCCTTCTTCCGCCGACCCGTTCGGCGGCGAGAGTGCGAGCGCAGCTGGCTCGTGCGACGCAGCGTAGCTCGCTGTATCAGCCAGTTTTGTTGCCACCCCGCAGCCTCCCGTCGGCCATATTGGCCAGGCTGCGGGCTCGGCTGGCCCAGTCGGCGCCGTGCCGGCTCATTCTGCCGGTTCTCAGGACGTGGAGGCTGCTCGGCGTCCAGTCCTCCGAGCCGCGGGGGCGCCGCACCGCCCGTCCAGCGCCTCTCCAAGAGAAGCGCTGGGATCGGTGCGTGCCGCTCCAGCGGCACAGGATGACGAGGCTCCCTCTGCGGCCCAGGCGCCGTCCTGTGCGCGAGCCTAGGGATTCCTCCGGCGAGGCTCGGCTTTAACTCGCCAGCTCCTCCCTCCGTAGTTGGCGAGGTCCTCGGGCTTGCCCCGATGAGGAGGCGAGAGCGCGGAGCTCAAACAAATCCTCCTCTTCCTCCTCCTCCTCCTCCTTTTCCTCCTCCTCCCCCTCCTCCCCCTCCTCCCGACAGCCCACCCCGCCCAGGAGCCTGCGGATTCGCTATCGGGGGCCCGTCGCCGATCTGTCGCGCCGATGCATCGCCAATCGAAGTTCGATGTTTCCACCCTGATCGGCAAATGTCAAACAACCCTGATCGCCAATCGAAGTTCGATGTTTCCACCCTGTTCCCCCGATCGCTCCCCCTCGGCACTGCTCGGGAGGGCTTGTCGGAAGAGGGCCGGCCGTGGCCCGCCGTGGCAGCCGCGGGCCTCCCTGACATCCTCGCGCTGCTGAGCAAAGTCCGGCGGGAGGTTCTTGGCCATACGGCCTTGCTTGTTCAAAAGTGTTTTGGGATGAGAAACGGGCCCTGGGGAAGAAGGCTAGACCTCCGGGGGCCCACGTTATGGAACAATCACGACGCCGGATTTCCGACCATCCTAAGAGTTCTTCGTCTGGTTCGGGCCTCCTGCAGGCTTCTCCTTGCCGAGGCTGGATCCACTGCGAGAACGTTCAACGGCTCGGAAACCTTGTGGGGGGGGGTCGTGCTAGACCGGTTCTGAGCGGATTTGGGCCAGGCGCGAGAGCCGTTGTTACCTCAATTGGCGTTCCTCCGAACTTGGCGGCGCGCACAAAGGGGGGGTGGAGGGGATCCGAAGAAGAGAAAGTGGCATGAACCTAAAACGTTTGGGAGGTCCGCGCGGATTTCGTTCATCGATGCTGGACCCCTCTGGTGACGCCTCTGGCGGCGCCCCTGGCGCGCTCCGCGCTTCAAGGAAGGGGTCCAGTGTCGATCCAAGAAGTCTGCGCGGAACTTTAACCCTCTCTACCATCATGCCGATCTCTCTTCTTCCCTAGAGCACGCGGGCCACCACCGCCGCATCGCGCGCAACGATCGGCGGGCCTTCGCACTAGAAACCACCCTCTCCGAGGGGGGTAATTATCTACAACTGTCGCCTTGGGGAGCCACCATCCGCCAAACCACCCCAACCCAACCCGATGGCCCCAATTTGCCCTCCAGTCCCAGTTGGGGGGGCTTCGGGGAACACTGCAGCAACACGTGTGGAACCCGTACCCCCCCCCCACCCAACCCGAAATTTGGGTCTGCGGGTTGGGTTGGCGCGGCTTGGTTGGTGGTCAGGGGGCGGTCATCGGGCATCTCGGCAGGTGGCAGATGTGGATATTGCGTGGGCCTCACGGCCGGTGCCTCCGACCCTGAAGGCGGGACCTCTCCGAGGACAGCCGCTGGCGACCCAACCCAGGCGGCAGATGTGGTTGCAGTGGAGGCCCATGCCAAGAAACACCCTGCTTGCCTCCAGGGTGCCCTGGGTTTTTTGGGTTTCGATGGTTTTGCTATGGAAGGCGTGACGTTCCCAAGCCAAATCAATGGACGTCCTGGGTTTCCAGGGTTAGGTTTCTCGTGGAAGGTTTCTTGTGGTCGGGCCTCCACTGAATTCTCTTGCACAGCTGTGTTCTAGAGCTCAGGCCTCTATGTGTTCGTTCGTCGTCGTCGTTCGTTCGTTCGTCGGTCGTCCTCCCCCCCGGCCACGGAAGGAAACTCCTGGAGGAAGGAGGCGGAAGCCTCCTGTCCCTCGCAGTTCCTTGGTGCAAGAGTCAGGGCACGCGTGCCACTTGTTTCTGGGCGCCAGGGGGGGTGCAGCCATATCCCCATCCGCCGTCTGCTGGCGTACCCGAGCCTCGATTCCCCAGGCGGCGGTGATCAGGCGAAGTCAGGGCGAGGACAAAATCAGGCGAGGGTGAATCGAGCATCTCTGAGATCCCGCGGTTCTGGAAGATGCGTTCGGCGCCGCGGCCTTCTCAGAGCGTTCCAGAATGCTCTGAGAGCGGTCGAAGTCGAGAATCAATCTCTGAGATCTGTCGGTTTTGGAAGATGGATCGGGCGCCGCGGCCTTCTCAGAGCGTTCCGGACGTTCCAGAACGCCCTGCAACGGATTTGCCCTCGTCTTAACCTCGTCTTGGGTGATGGACGATGCATCGCCTCCTTGCCCTACCCAGGTCTTCTGATGTTCTAGCCTACTCTAGCCTTGATCACCAGGAAAGAATTTCGAGCACCAGGAAAGTACCGAAACTTCAGGGTTTTCACGTGTCGGGCCCAGGGAGGCGATACTCGTTCGACAGTGTTTCGATACTCTTCTGGGTGCTCGAAGTTATGTCCGGGACCTGGTCCTTAAGTACGATGGGAGCAGCATAACCCGGGTCGGACAAAAGAAGAGGCGGAGTACGCAGAGTGCGAGGAGGAGGAGGAGGAGGAGGAGGTGGTGGAGGAGGAGGAGGATGAGGAGGAGAAGGATGAGGAGGAGAAGGATGAGGAGGAGAAGGATGAGGAGGAGAAGGATGATGATGATGATGATGATGATGATGATGATGATGATGGTGATGATGGTGATGGTGATGGTGATGGTGATGATGGTGATGGTGATGGTGATGGTGATGGTGATGATGAGGAGGAGGAGGAGGAGGAGGAGGAGGAGGGCTGAGAGGGGGCGGCGAAGCCTGCGCCACGCAGCTGGCCTTGGCCCCGCCGCGGGGCGCGCTGCCCTCGGCGCACGGGGCGTGCCTCCCAGCGCAGCGCCGGGAGGGGCCGTGGAAGGCCAGCCGCTCAAGCAGTGGCGAAGCGCCCCGGCTTCCCTGCAGGCCCACCAGGACAGGTTCTAGCCCAGGGCTGAACCTCAACGGTGTTCTTCGTGTTCGTTTTGTTCTCGTTTGCCCTCGCTTCTGTCTCGAATCCGCCTTCACCGCAGAACGAAGTCGAGACGAAGGCGGCCCACGAAATCGCCAAAAACACCGTTCAGGTCCAGCCCTGTTCTAACCCACGGCAACTCCATTGTTTTCGAGCCGGGAGCTTTCGCCTCTCTTCGGGCCCAGGGGGGCCTCACGGACCGATGAGGCTCCAGGAAGGGCGCAGAAAGATGGGGTCTGGTGTTCCGGGCGCGGATGTTCACGATGTTGCATTTTTTCGCTACGTCGGACCTCACGGAAGAACCTTTTGTGGTTTGCACGACATGTTTTTAGAACCTTTCTGGCTGAGACTGCCTTCTGTTAGCACACCAGGTTGATGTTCTAAGAACATTGTTTTTTCTTGGAAAAATTTTGGGTTCTAAGAGAATTTCGTGGTAGGCTTATAGGAATGCCGGGACGGTCGGTCCCTGCTCGAGCCACGTGAGCCGATTGGCTAACCCGCCCTCCTTGGGACCCGACAGCGCGAGGACGTCCCAGGCAGGATCGCGTCGTCAAGAGAGAATCGGGGCGGCACGTTTTTCCCTACTCCTTCGGCCCCTGGGGGCCCTCGCCGTGCACTGGGGCCGTCAACAAATCGGCCAGGGATGAGAAGCTGGCCCTGGGGAAAGGCTCCTAGATATGCGACGTCCTGATTTTTTTTTTTTTTTTTGTTTTTTTTTTCAAAACGGCGTCCCCGGAAGTCCAGACCCATTCCCTGGGGCCGGTTTTTCATCTCGAGTCCTTTTCTGACGGTCCCGGGGCCCGGCGAGGGCCCCCAAAGGCCGAGCATGGTGAACAATTGACCGTCCTGATTTTTGTTGCGACGACGCGATCATGTCTGGGCTCGGGGCTTCCAGGGGCGCCGCACGATACCTCTTCCAGATTCCCGGGATCTGAGAGATCCCCCATGGATCCCGATCAAATTGTGTCCCGATGTTGTTTTCGTTCCCAGGAGGAGGAGGCGGAGGAGGAGGAGGAGAAAGAGGAGGAGGAGGAAAGAATCTGGACGTCGCGTGCCTGGGGCTGCAGCATCGGGGCAAGCGCGGCCGGGGCCATCGGCCTTATATCTCCCTGGTGTGCAGTCATCCAGCCGGGGATCGATCCAGGGCCCTGCAGGGCTCGTTTCGACTCCTTCGATTCGATTCGACTTCGACCTCGGATTCCGATCGGGGCTCCGATGCCTTACTGTGGAGACATATAGCCCGTCGATTTCCTCCGATTCGACTTCTCCCAGCTCGGCTGCCGATGCCTGCCGATCCGATTCCTTTCGATCGCCGATGCGGCTTCTCGATTCGATGCTGAGCTCTCCATGGGGCCCCAAGCTGGGCGAGAGCGCCCGACGTGGCAGAAGGGCAGCGCCAAGCTCTGAGGGCTTTCTCGGGCGGGATTATGCAGCGGAGACCCCTGCCAAGAGACACCCTCCACGCCTCCAGGGTGCCCTGGGTTTCTTGGGTTTCGACGGCTTCGCAGTGGAAAGCGCGACGTTCCAGCACCAAACATCCATGGACGTCCTGGGGTCTCAGGGTTGTTGGGTTTCTCTTGTGGACGGTTTCTTGTGGACCGGCCTCCACTGTAGGACAGGGGTGAGGTTGTTCCAAAGCGTCCCCCCAGAACGCTTTCAGAGCGTTCTGGAACGCTCCGAGAAGGCCGCGGTCTCCTTTTCTTCCTCCTCGTCCAACTCCTCCTCCTCCTCCACCTCCTCCTCCTCATCCTGTCCGCTACGAACGTGGCACTGCCGGCGTGTCCGATGCACCCTTCAGAACCCGCAGATCTCGGAGATCCCCCATGTGTCGTTGCCCTTTTATGTTCCTGTCCTGGCCTCGTCAAGCTGTCGTCCGGCCCGAGCACTCCCTCGGAGGCCTAGCAATATCGGAGGGGCACCTCCACCGAGGGAAGACTCTCCCGATCGCGGAGATGGTGGTCATATCCGGGCTCCTCAGATTGAAGTGTTCGCCGAGATCTGCAGCAGATACCTGGAACCTCCGCAGATCTGCGAGCACGCTCGGCGAGCCTTCTCTTGGGAGGGCACGTCGGCTCCGTGGCCGAGCTCCGACTCGAGATGAGCAGGCCTGCAGTCCCTGCCCTGGCCTTCGGGGGAAGCGGGTCCCGAGGGGAAGGAGTCCTGGCCCTCGGGCCTCCCCTCCCAGGACGAGTGCTGCATCCCGAGGCGCGCTCCGACGCTTCCAGGGCCCATGGAGGGCCCCGAGGGCCCGGAAGCGGCGGAACACCTTCGGGTCCGCCCTCCTCGAGCACGAGCACGAAGCCATACGCCGTTCGGCGCGTGGGCAGGAACAACGAAGTGGACTCGAGAATGCAATGCTTGCGCTCGACAGGGCTAGAGGAGGAGGAGGAGGAGGAGGAGGAGCGAAGGAAGGAAGGAAGGAAGGAAGGAAGGAAGGAAGGGAAAGCAAAGCACCCCCGGACCAGCTTTTCCTCAGGACCACCTGTTTCCCTCCGGACCACTCTGCCCCCACGTCTCAGGAGGGGAAAAACACACACAGACACAATGAAGCGTCGGCTCCCAGGACAATAGAGGAAACTATGGGAAGCGGGGGGGAAGACGAAAACCCCGAAAATATGGAACGACATGGGAAATCCTGGGTGTTGTTCGTGTGTGTGTGTGTGTGTGCTTATTTGTGTGTCCTTGGGCCCCTCCAACGTCGAAGACCCTCGCCCGACTCGCGAGCACTCCCTGGCCCGGCCATGCCACCGCCCGCGCGCCTCTGGGCCTGGCGCGCGGGGCCTCCCGGCTCGCGCCGCCCGCGGCCCCGGGGACGACAGCAACCGAAAAGCGCGCGAGGGCCGCGCTCTCGGGGGGCTCCACGACAGGGGGGGAAAGGGAAAGGGGGGGATAGGGAAAGGGGGCGGTTAGGGAAAGGGGGGGATAGGGAAAGGGGGGGATAGGGAAAGGGGGGGGATAGGGAAAGGGGGGGCTCAACGACAGGGGGGGAAAGGGAAAGGGGGGGTTACGAAATCTGCTGCATGCAGCTGGTTTCGGCCCGCCGCCGGGCCCATTCCTCGATGCACGGGCGCCTCCGGCGCCGGGAGGCGCCGGGAGAATCAGCTAACTACGTGAGCTGATTCTCAGCCCCCCCTTCGCTATCCCCCCCTTTCGCCCGGCCGGAAAGAGGGGGGTGATGACCGGGGTTAAGTCGGGCGTGTCCCTCTGCGGGAGGAGTACTCAAAAATAGTCCACATAGTCCGGGGGACGATTTTTGGTGTATTTTTGTTTTGACTTTTTCAGGGCCCCGGGACCCTCACAGATCGATGCGGCTCGAAGCATGGCGCAGAAAGACGGGGTCCGGGGCTCTGGACGCGGATATTCACGATGTCGCAATTTCTTCGCTACGTCGGATCTCAGGGAAGAGGGCGGTGATGACTAGGGGGGGTGGATATCATGGCGGGGGCCATCCTCAGACATGATCGCGGCGTTAGAAAAAGAAGGGCCGCACATGTTTGGCTATTTTTGGTCCCTGGGGGTCCTCGCCGGGCCCTGGGACCGTCAAAAAACGACTCGGGACGAAAAACCGGCCCCGGGGAAAGGGTGGACTTCCAGGGACGCCTCATTGAAAAAATCAGGACGTCGCATGCCTTGGAATAGTGTAGGAAGGGGGGATATCATGGCGGGGGCCATGATCTTTCCCCAGATTTCATGGCGCCTCTTCTTACTTCATTACTTTCCCTGGTCCCCCCCCTGGGCCACGCACGTGCCGCCGGCCATGATTTGCCCCCCCCCCCCCCCCCTCTCTTGGACGCCTCCCCTTCTTGGCCGCCCCCCGCCCGAACTTTTTGGGGGCCTCCTGGGAGGCCCTCGTTGCCACCGCTGGTCGGGGGCGGCCAAGAGGGGGGTGATGACTAGTGGGGGAAGCTATCATGGCGGGGGCCATGATCTCCCCAGAGTTCACGGCGCCTCTTCTTGTTTCACTGCGTTCCTTGGCCCCCCCTGGTCCGCGCACGTGCCTCGGGCCCTGATCTACGCGAACCTCCCTCTTGGACGCCCCCCTTTTCCTGGACGCCCCCGACGCCGCTGGGTGCGCCTCGAGATGCTGGCCGGGACGCGCCCTGTCTGGGAGAGGTCCCGGGGAGCGGCGGCAGGGGATCGGGCGGGGCGCTTCCCCGCGCTGCCTGCCGTGCCCGAGGGGGGCCCCTGGGGGCCCTCCCTCCTCCCTCCTCCTCCACCCCCCCTCCTCCTCCTCCTCCTCCTCCTCCTCCTCCTCCTCCTCCTCCTCCTCCTCCTCCTCCTCCTCGGGTCGCCTACGGCCCCGGGGGGAACCGTGCAGGGGACCCCCCGCGCTGCGCGCGCCTCTCCCCGAAGAGAACAAGTGCCAGAGGAGCGGAGCAGGAGTGCATGAGGATTTGGAGATACCTCCACCCTTCGCGCCCGCTTTCCCGGTTATTTTGGGGTCCTCCTGGGAGGCCCTCGTCGCCACCGCTGGATTCGCCTCGAGATGCTGGTCAGAGCGCACCTCTGAAGAGGTCCAGGGAGTAGTGGTATCGGCACAATCGTGTGCCCCCAATAATGATACGTTCCAAGATCTCCAATGTCTCCAGGATTTCCAGGGCGCCCTGACGCTCCACACAGGCTGCAGAGAAACGAGGGTCAGTATATAGGTTACACACAGGCTGCAGAAACGAGGGCCGCTAGATGCGCTGGAAGTCCTGGCACGCATCCTGAGCTAATCCTCCCATGGCATCGGCCTCCTGCTAAGAACGGCACAAACATACATGTTCGGAGCTCCGCGCGGATTTCTTTGGATCCGCACGGGACCACCCCAGCGGCGCCGCACCGCGCCGCACCGCGCGCCGGGGAGGGTTGTCTCCGCAGATCCAAGAAATGCGCGCAGACCGTCGACAGCCTATGCTCATGCAGCTTTTTCTCGTATCTTCGGTCGGGGGGGGATCGGATCCCTCAGGACTCGGCTCGTGGGGGTCAAGCCGAACAAAAGTCCAGGAACGATGGTCCAGCGCAGATCCAAGAAGTCCGCGGAGACCGTCGACAGTTTCTGTTCATGCAGTTTTCT